CACCCCTCCGGGAAAAATAAGATGGAGCAATAAGGAAGCACAAGGAGTGTGTACGTTCCAAACCGCTCCACCCACACTCCCAACAATAACAGGGTGCTCTGGGACCCCATCAAGTGTACACAATGAATACCCTCATTTCCTTATTTCTTTTGGGGTTTATGGGATTGCCCTGCACACTCTGGAGGTCAGGGGTCATTATGCCCACTTTACAGATGGGGAACAGGTGCCTGAAGAAACGTAAGGATTCAGTCCAGGTGATGCTGCCGGGGCCTAAGCGGGGGACACCTAGGCATCCTGATTGTCAGTCCAGAGTGGTCCAAGAAAAGGGCTTGGTGTCCCTGTGGGTTAGTGGACCCACCCATTAGAAAAAAGCATGAAAGTCAGTGATGGGTGGCGGGGAGAATAGGTGGGACCAGGATGAGGGAGACTGAAAAGAAAGGAGTAAGGCTATGGTTGAACTGAAGTGTATGGTTGCAGTTTAATTGGGTTCTAGATTTCAGCTAATGTTAGAGTTGGGGTAATGGCTTGATTAAAGTTGGGGTAAAGGCTGGGTGGGGTTATTTAGTTGGAATTATGAATGAGGTTGAGGTCAGATTTCATGTTGGGATGGAAATTAAGGCTGAAATTAGGGTTGCAATAACAGCTAGAACTGAGGTTAGGGTTGATCGCCAGGATCCGTTTATGATAATAGGGTTTTAATCTCATTTACAGCTATGCTTGAGAATGCAGTTATATAGCTCAATTGAAGACTGGGAGGAGATTGATTTGGGATCGGGATTACAGCTGGGTTAGAATTGAGTTTGGGATTTGAGTGAGAATAGACTCTGGTTAGAACATGGGTTAAAGTTATATGGGCGAGAGAATCCATGGGGTTCAAAAATGAGGCTTTATTTGTGATATAGAAAGAAAGACCTCAGCATCCATCTGCTAAACCCAAGTTTTATAAGAATTTTCATCCCTGTGCTCAGGGAGAATACCAATGGCACATGTTGATGGGGGACCCAAGATTTGGGGGAGAGTTGCAAATCCATATGAGTTCATCTGAGGGGTATGAAGCAATTTAATCCCATGACAAATGTAACCTCTGAAGTCCTGCTCCACGACCTTAGCGCAGCACAGATCTTGCTCCCTAAAAGGGATCTAGGGAGGGACACAGGAAGCTATTGGCAATGAGTGGGGCTCTGATGACAAATTGAACTAGAAGATGAGGTCCATCAGAAGCAGTTTTACTGGTGGGGGGGTTGTCCTGGTTTTGGAGTCTAGGAGATGGGAGTTGGGGGAGACTGAAGGCCTAGGTGCTCCTAGAAGAATAGCCACTTTTAAGGGCTCCACAGGGGCCTCTCCCAAGCCTTAAAAGGAAGACACATTGTTGCTCTCCTCTGACCCACTGAGGGCTAATTGCCACCTCCTTGCAATTTGGGGCCCATAAAAGAAGCTGTCAGCCTTCCTGCCTTGTGCCCTGAGCCCTGCAGGGTTTGGGGGTCGGGGGAGAGTGGTGGAGTGAGGGCACTGGGCATCAGCTTAGTTTTGATAGCGTAGGTCTCGCCCACAGCCCATTTCGCTCCAGCTTAATCTTCAACAGCGGAAGCGGGCCCACGCGAGGAGGACCCTGTCCCAACTTCTCCCTCTCTTTGTCCCTTACCCAGTCTCTGCCCCAACCACCCCATTTCTCCACCCACTTCCTTTTCAGGTCCCATAAAGGTCTGTACAGATTCAGGAGACTCTTGGGGTTCCCTCTGTGCTCTCAGGGAGAGAGTGATTACTGAGAGGCAGAGGAACACAAATTTCTGAAAGGGCCTCTTGCGTTTTCCCTGAGAAAGTCATAGCTCTCCAGGGAAGAATGGCCCCTCTTTTGTGCATATGCCCCAGTTTGGGTTGTATTTGTTTCTATTCTAAGACAGAAACTCAAAGACAGAGGCTTAGAAAGCAGTGAACGGGGACCGAGGAGGAGAGAAGAGGCAGGTCAAGAACCCAGAGACTGCTTCTGAGATGAGGTGCAGCCTCACCCCAGAACGTTTGGGGGAAGGACAGGCGGAGGCTTTGGCCCTTTCTACGGAGTGCCCTTCAGAGCAACTCCACACAACCCCTGTAGGCCATGCTCTCACCCGCCCAGACCATCCCTCCAGCCCCTCCCCCGGACCCCTGGGCTCAGACTCCCATCTTCCCCCCTCCAGTCCCCTCCCTCTGTAACTTGACCCTTTCTAAACCACACACACACACACACACACACACACACACACACACACACACACACACACACNGAGGTCCATCCATACCCCATAATTCATGTGGCCCCGGGATAGAAGCAGGAAGAATTAGGAAGCCCAACTCCTCCTTAAGGGAAAAAGAGGCGAAGAAGGAAGGAAGTGCTTGGGCTCCCAACAGGCAGATGACTGAGCAGAAGTAGGTGGAACTGAGTGACCCTGAAGTAACACGCTCTTCAGAAGACCCTCAATCCCTGGACCAGACACAGGTGCAGTTGTGTGCCTGTTGCAGCCATCGTGTATGGAGTACAACCACTTGGCCCAATAGAGGCAGAGGGATTGGAAATATGATGTTTAGGGCTCCCTAAGAGTAGAACTTGGACCAAAGGATAAAAGTTCTATGGGAACCAAAATTGGATTCAATAGAAGGAGCATATCTCTGATAGTCAGAGGCTAAATGGACTGTGCTGGCAAGTAGGGCAATGCCACTGGAGGTATTCAAGAAGAGGTTAGACTAACCTTTGTCAGGAATGCTGTAGAAGGGATTCACATATATCAGAGAAACAGCTTGATGTCCTAGAGTCAAATATGCTTGGATCAAAACCTTGATCAACATACCTAATCCCTCTCAGCCTCAATTTCTTCATCTGTATATAATGGGATAGTGCACAACTTCATAGGACTAAAGTAATGATTAAATATGAGAAAATATCAGAAAGCACCAATAAATTTCAATCCTCTTTCCATTAAAAGGGGGGCTAGGTTAGATGACCTTGAAGGTCTTTCTACCCCAGAGTATGACTCTGAAACGCTTCCTGGTTGTTGAGAGGGAAGGCATACATCTGGGAGAGAGAAGAAGTCAGGAACGGGTAGATGAGGGCAGGAGGAAGAAGGATGATGAAATGGTCTGGAAACATTCGGAGAGGTCATCCTTGCCGGTCCCTTGTTTCCCCTATCTGACCCTCTGGAATAAAAGAGAAAAGCGGGATTCTGGATTTAAAATCCAAACCGAGGGGGTTTCCATTTCCCGCTCTGTGTAGTGAAGGAGTAGGATTAGACAGCCCCTTCCAGCTCTCACTGCTACCCATCCGAGGAGGCAATGGTGCAGGAACGATGCAGGACAACAAAAAGCAATGCCCCCCATCCGGGAGCAGCGCCTCCACCAGACCCCACGCCCAACACTCCGTGGAACCACAGCCACCTGTCTCAGGTCTTACGGTTTCTTTATTGTGCTAACACTGTCTCCTCGGAGCCCAGATCTCACACACAACACTTCAGTCCACACCCCCACTCGCCCGGCCCGAAGCCTTCTGCTTTGGCTGGGGACACGGGGCCTCCGCCTCAACGGCTCTCGGACGTCTTCCTCCTCAAGGAACCTCAAGGCCCAGGGGAGGCGAGGGGGGCTCCGGGTGGCCTTTCTCTGCCCCTCCCCTCCCCTCCCACTTCGGCGGGGGGAGGCTCTGCCTCCCTACTTATTTCCCTAGGGCAATGCCTTCAGCCCGCAGCCTCCTAGCTGCCAGGGGCAGGCGGGGTGGGCGCAGCCCGAGCGTGTCCCCAGCCTCGGGCGGGTAGCGCGCACCCTCCTCCCGCCCGGACACAGTCCGGCGGGCGCGCGCGCTCACACCAACAGTCCGTCCTTGCCCGGTAGCGACCCCTGGGCGCAGTCGGCGGGCTCGGCGCTCGTGACCTTGACGTAGACCTGGGAGGGGCCCGCTTCGCAGGCCGCGGCGGTGCACGGCGCCAGGGCCATGTCCTCCGGTCCGCCTCTGGGCGGAGGCGCGTACTTGCGGCGCAGGGAGCGACTGACGGTCTGCGTCGGGTACCCCAGCAGGTGGGTGACGCGGCTGCCGCGCCCGCTGGCCTTACACCCGGGCGCCACGGCGTCCTCTCTGTGGAGACAACAGGCGGGCGGGTGAGCGGGCTCCTTGGTGGCGCGGAGTGGGCCCGGCCTGGCAGAGCC